AACAGAGCGGATTGGATCTTTGGATAGGTGGCCCAGGGAGGCTTAGTTTATGGACTTAAGCAGTTTATGGGGGTGGGGAGCATGCTTGGGGCAAAGTCATTTTGAGGGGGAAGGGGTTGTGTGTGTGTGTATGTGTGTGTGTATGCGGTTTGTTGGGAAGCAGGGGGTCTGGGGCACGCCAGGCATTACATGCCGGCTAAAATTAGCAGCAGCTGTCTTGGACCCACTGGACATTCTGGCGTGTTTGCATGTGTGTCTGTGTGTACATGCTTCTGTGTGCAAGTGTGGGGTGATGTTAACAGAGACTTGAGATAGGAGAGGCTGGAATGCAGCTCTAGTGGGCACTGCTGGTTTTAAAATTATTTTCATGACATCTGAGCTTAATTGGATAGTGAACAATGCAGAGTGACAGGACAGAGAAATACTTGGGAGGGCAGAGAGAGTGACATGCAGCAAAGGTCATTTTAGCAGCTACAGCTATGAATGCAACAGAATATTAGTCTCATTACTTACCTAATGACAGATGCACTCTGGGTTACTGGTAGCAGCGCATCGCTTGTTGACTCCAGAAGCAGGCGTCGGGAGGAGTTAAAAAAAACCCTTCCGTGTTTTGTTTCCCATGTTTTCTTCATCGTGTGTCTCTCCATTCAAATACAGAGACGCACGATGAAGAAAACATGGTGCATGCTCTTGTCTCTCCCCTTGATGGACATGATGAGTGTAGTCGCCACCTGCTGCCATCGCATGACAACGGCATGCAAGACATCTGAGCGATGTGCTAAGTTTGCATTTATCGACACCATCGCCGGCTAAGGAGTCACCAAGTTACAGCTTATGCACCTCTCTTCACCTACGGACTAACAAATTAGCATATACAAAAAACACTGATAGCGAAAAACACAGACCTGCAGGTGCTTATTACAATTAATTACTCTAATCTAGACAAAAAATGTTAAAAAAAATCCCTCAGCCTGAAGTAACATCTTAAAAATAGATTGTTTTGTGATAAGTATTGGCTCACGGTTTTGATAGTTTCGCTCACAGCAGAATCAGACCCATGACATTTAAGCCACAGGTCCAATTCAGTCTCTGTTCTCTAAGCGTTCAGGTATGGCCGCTCGCTGAATGGAAGATGATCTTCACTGCGAGATGTCTCCGCTGGGTGTGTGTGTGTCGGCATGTGCAGAATGTGACTCATCCGATCCGTAGCCCACTTCTGTTCACAATCTAAGCATCAGCAGGACTTTGAATCTAACAGAGTTACATCACCGCTTTACCGCATTATAATCCTGTCTGTGTGACCTCATGCTGGGTGTGTGTGTTTGTGTGTGTGTGTTGATGTGGAGCAGTAGTGCTGGATGTAAATTAAGTTCACAGTCAATCAACTTCGTACCTCTCCACTTATTCACACCAAAATGAAAGGAAAATGGCCAGTATTTGGTTTTTAAATGTGTACTATACATGTACGTATAACTACATGTAGTTAACCATCTTCTTCTTTGTTTTTAGACTCACCCTTTCCTTTCTATCAAACTTTCTTTACTTATATTCTGTTGGTTTACCTCCTGTGTTTCTCTTTTTAAGGGCTGACAACATCATACAAATCTACTACAGGACACCACCCAAACACTGAAGGGTCACTTCTATTAGGGTTAGGAGTGACATCAGACGTTGACTTTTACCCCCCCTTAAATTGAATCTTTTCTGGATGCTGAATACCACAGAAGAAGAATGAGAGTTCATTGTGCTAAACTGAAGTTTATAGGAACTGTAATTAGACGCTGTAAGTTTTGACCTCTTCTCCTCTGCCAAAAATCTTTAACCCTGTAGGATGAGAGGTTACTAAATTCTGTCCATGTGACTCGCGTTACAAACAAACCAGCAACAGTGTGACAAAGTAAGAGACCATACTGAACACAGACTTCTGCATTAGTGTTCTGCTTCTTGGATGGTATCAGCAGTAGTGGGAAAAGTGATGCCTTCTGTAATAAAAAGCTTGAGCGGTAAGCCAAGTGGGGCCAAACACTCGAGTGAGTCAGAGTGTGGGAAGTCATGAGTGTGTCACCAAGAATGTCAACATATTTTCCTGAGGAGGAGGATGTTTTTTCAAGGAGAAAATGCAGCGAACAGAGCGCGGTGCAGGGTCTCTCCTCCTATCAGGTCAACTGTACCAGAGCCGGGATTCATGTCATCTTTATTAACTTATAAGTTTCTGCCTCATTCAAGGCTTTTAATCCCGTCGTCTCAGACACTGACATTCCCTCCGGCTAATGAGTGCCCAGGGTCTGCTGTGAATGTTTGGACTGAGAAGTGTTAGTCAACCTTATGAACTGATCACTCTTTCAGAGGAACTCTGTGACCCCAGGGAGCTGACTAGTTGCACACTAAGACTCTTGGCACTGAACAGTCATCTAATGGTTGGAGTGTCGGTGAGTTAGACTGTGTTCAGGCACACATTAGCACTACTACAGCAATGCGATGGATGCCGTCGTAGTGCTAATCTGGCAATTGTGCTCCTGCTAAAGGTTAATTGATGCCAAGACAGCGCACAGTGGGTTTTTGTCGCTGGAGGCAGGATCGTACAACTCTAGAAAGTTTTCACAGCAGCAATAATTGTCTTCTCCATCTCTGCACTTGTGAGATGAAAGGTGAAGTGGAACAGCGCCGAAAAATACACCACAAGGTACAAGTACCTCAAGTGTACTGTACCTCTGTTTGGATGAGCAGCATTTGACTGGCCAGTGCAGTGCAGGAGAATTAGAGCCAAAGTAAACTTTTTCTTTTTTTTGGGCCAAAATACCCTCCGTTTGTTTGGTTTTTTTTTTCCACATCCCTCTTTGCCCGCCCTCCCTTTGCACTGCCTCATGAAATGAATGAGGAGTCTGTGTTATTGGAGGAGTGTAATTTGCCACAGAGCTATTGTCAGTCTGACAGGGCTTTCAGGCGAAGCCACTGATAATGTAAAGTACACAATATTTACAACACTTTAAACAGAGCATTGCTGTGGATGAATATGTCCGTTCTATTTCTGGAATGTGACAGAAAGCAAATGGTAACCAGACAGTCTTTGATGGGAAGATGTCAAGCATCTGTCTGTGTGTGTATGTGATTCAGCGCAGTCAAGGATTCTCCAGCACAGAATACACGCAACTTATCTGTGTGTACACATTTGTGCCTCTGAGTGTATTTACCTTTGTGTGCTTCTGTCGATTTGCGCTCTATTTGTGCGCGCGCGCGCGCGCGCGTGTGTGTGTGTGTGTGTGTTTTGGCCATTCCTCGACCACATGTCCTAACATTCCCTGACATCTGGTGACCATACCTCTGCTCAGGCTCTCTGACTGTACTCAGCAAGCCATGGGAACTGCTGCTGTGTAGGTTGCTGCGGTGTATGTGTGTGTGTGTGTGTGTGTGTGTGTGTGTGTGTGTGTGTGTGTGTGTGAGACGCAAAGAGAGAGAGAGCGAGAGATGACCTCAGGATCGGTGCAGATGTTTCCACAGCACTGTGTGCAACTTTGTGATGATTTCTCCCAACAAGCCTGATGAAGTGGAGTTGTTCTGTCCAGTTCTGTCCTTGTTTTTCTTTATTTTTTAAAAAAAGACAAGATCTCTGCACCAAAATGTTTTGTCCGCTCACCACACACGACCAGTGCTATAATTTTCTGGTGAGGACAGTCTGTTCCGGTAGAAAGTGAAAACAACAATGTGCAGAAACGAAATGAATGCAGTTACTTCACAAATAGTGATTGTGTACAAATCCTTCAACCCAAACTTGATGATTTGCCCTTCAATTTTCACCTCTTATCCTCGAACAACTATTTTATTCTATTCTGTTATGTTTTGATTCTGTGCCATTCATTACAGCTCCCTTCCTTTCTACTCTATATTCAGCTCCCTTTATTCTATTCCCTCGTCTCTCTTCACTCAATTTTGCTCTCTTTGAGACATTAATTCACATTTTTGGGGGTTTTTCCCTCATGGTTATATATTTAGCAAACAGGAAACGAACGTCCCAGAAATCCCCTCTCTGCTCCCGCTGAGAGAGAGAGAGAGAGAGAGAGAGAGAGAAGGGGAGAGAGATGAAGTCACATACACATCTCGTGCCCTTGAGCCCTAGACAGGGTTGTCGTGGGATCTGCTTTGTTTATATTCCCATGCATTTTCATGAAAGTAAATTCAAAGACAGTGCCTCCACATCGCCTCTCTATGTTCTGTATTTTTTGTCCTTCTCACTGTCCGCCCAACCCCGGCCTCCGTCCATCAGCCTCATTCATCTCCAACATGAAGTTAAGGACTGTTCTCCCCACCTCAGGTTCAATCTCAGTGCCATTTAGAGACTTCAAGGCCTAATCCCCGCTCTTTCGATAGCCTGTAGACCCTAACCCCTCTCAACCCTCGATAAGCCCTGACCTCTGACCCCTCTATTACTTCACTTCCTTCCTGCATGCACCCGGGGATAATTTTTCTCCCTGCCTCTCCAGAAGGAGAAGTTGAGTGGTACTTAAGTTGACAGCGTAGTGCGGATTTGCCGTTCCGCCGATAATTTTTATGTTTGGTCTTGATGTAGATATTTGTGTGGCGTTGGAGCCTGTTTACATCTGTTTACTTCTAATGTCCCACATTTGACATCTGTAATGTTGAAACCATACACTGAGGAAAATCTTGATTCCATGATATCACCCAACCAGTAGACTACACAAGACTGTATCATTTTAATGGAGTTGGATGATATACTAATGTACATAAGAAGCTATTAAGTGTCTGCTCAATTGAATGAGTGAATATCTTAAATGCCCCGCAGGGATCTCGTCTCGCAGATAATAAAACTTTAAGTCAATACAACAGCAAGCGTTAGTGCTCCCCATTCCAATTAAAAAAATGATAATAATAATAATAATAATAATAATGAAACTTGACTTTTAAATGACCTGTTATGAGTGGATAATAAATTTTCATCTCCTGTTTCTTTTCTTCTTCTTCTTCTTCTTTTTTTCGTCTCTCAGGAGAAGCGAAAACGGCAAGCTGAAATCGAAGACAAAAGAAGCCAGCTCGATGACCTGGTGCTACAGCTACAACATCTCAAGGTGGGTTTGCTTGCTTGAAAAACATTCTTGGTTGAGGGAAAAAAAATAAGTATCCTAACAATATTCTGTGTTGGTGAGAGGCAAGAAACCGCCATTTAGCCAGAGGAGGATGCTGGCCTGTAGCTGACCCTGATCTCTGACTTCTCTGTGGAATTTTATCAATAAAATGCTTTCACAAAAATAAAAACCATGTCAGCAAAGCAGCGGCGCATAGTTTGTTGTGTAAGGTAATTGACCAGTTGTTTCCTCTGAGAACCAGCCTGCTCTCTGCTCTTTCTCACGCTGTTTAACAGACTTTTCCATTTCCTGTTGAGCTCTGACAACAACCACTCCGAGCTGAACTCTTAAAGAGAAGGTGTGGAGCTTTCGCTAGTCATCAAACACCACCAAATAACCAATTTTACCGAACTGTCAGAGGTAAAATTGACTATAACTTGAGGAGACCAGTCCATAGCAGAAAACAATAGTTAGGGTTAACTTGGCTCTTAAATCGTCGTGATGTTTACGTGCTCCCAGGCTCAGATCAACGCCTCCTTTTTGAGAGGCTTGGATCATGCAGCACCAGAGGTCCTTATCAAATCTCTGGGCTCCAGTCTCCATTTCCTCTCCCAGGCCACTACGTCTCTGGAGATCAGACTACAAAGCCCGCTTCATGCTGCCTGGCTGTGTGGCACTCAGAGGTAATGGCCATTAAATGGGACTGTGTGACCAGATGCTGATTACATCTGGAGTTCAAGCCTGCTGGTGTTGTATGCAAGAAAACTAAACAGAGCAGCACACTGGCTCTGGAGATCAGAAGAGGCTTGATTTTTTTTTTTTTTTTTTTTTTTTAGATGGAGCAAAGCACTGACATCTTCAGGTTAGGATGGGTTGAGATATTTTTTGCTCTTTTTCATTTTTCCCTGAGGAGCATGGAAAATACACAGAATAGATGCAACTGGAATTAAATGGCTCTGCCAGCCAGTCAAGTTGCAGTGTTTTGTGAGGTCACAGTGACCTTGACCTTTGAGCTTTGGCCACCAAATTCTAATCAATTCATCCTTGAGTCCAAGTGGACATTTATGCCAAAGAAGATAATGCCTCCAGCTGGTGCTGAGGCATGACAAGCAGACCCCCTGACATTTTTCATAATAAATGAAGGAGATTTTTCTGGCAGACTCTTGAGTTTGCGCTAACCACACACCAGGTGGGTCACCCAGGTGGCCTAGTGGTCAAGGCCTCGACCATGAACCATGACATCCCTGGTCCAGCGGGGCACCACTGTTGCATTCGTAAAGTCCCCTTATTTCCTGTCATCTCTCTACTTCCAGCGATCTATCCGTTCATCCATAAAAGCACAAAATCAAATCATTAAAAACTGGACTATTGCCTGAATTATTATGAGTCAATAGTCCAGAGTAATAAAAAAACAAAAAAACAGTCATTTATGTGTATGAAAAAGCTGCATGTCCTTAGTTATTATAACCGCTGGCTTCCCTGTGGGTTTCTGCAATGCGGCACTGATTCAACAAAACAACACCGGCTAATAGTCCACAATGTAGTTCCTGCAGTAGACTGAAATGTCAGCAGTTAATGTCATGTGTAATTTGTTATAGTTATAATTTCCCATGCAGGTAGAGAGAAAAGAAATCAGACACTAGCAGGATGAAATGCAGCAGTACATTCTAGACACACACACAACTAAACAATACAAAATGATAAAACTTTTCAGGTTCAAATTCATGCAGTGCTGGGTCAGTTACACTAAAGTGCCCAGTAAGACTGAAATTAGTTTTAATGTATTTCTTGGAGCTGGGCCCAGACTGTAGAAATCCGGCCTCAAAGACTGAGATCAAACCCAGGTATAACAGTTGCGTGTCAGCTTAACCTTCATTAAGAACTGTACCGCATTGAACATAATGCTTTAAAGGCAGAACGCACACTGTGCACATGGCTTTAATTAATGTTTCTCTTTTGTCCATATTTCCATAAGTGGGGTTTAAAATGATGGAAAACACCAGTGTGTAGGAGTCAAACTTACTTCATAAAAGATTCATTCATGCTAAGTGTGTGTAAAGGCTCTAATTAGAGGATGGAATGTATTTTTATTGCAAATATTAAAACTGGCTGCCATACATATTTGTAGCGTAATGGGTAAACCCACACAGCCGTTTCCCTACCCACCAGGCATCTGTGCAGCATTTAGGACAGCAGGAGTTTTCAAACAATTCCCTTTGGAGGTGAAGCAACTATACATCACGAATTATATAGTTACAACCATATAGATACTGAAATAGATCTCTTTTAGAGTTCAACTTCTCTTTACCTATTTTTGTTCAACATTTATTCATGTAAACGTTGTAAAAATGCGATGAGGAAACAGAAGTCAAACACTGTCAAAAGCAGAAGCTTTAGCACAGTCTATTTTAAGAGATGTCACATGGCATATCACTGCTCAAAATGTATAGGATGTCTATATCTGGTGTGTGTCCACCTGACAGGGCTGGTCATGTGTTATCTGAACTTGTCCATGACGTCAAGTGACCAGTTTTTCTTTGGTTGAAAGCTTTAAGATTTCTGCTCATATGACTGATGCCTGGAAGCTGTTCAGTTTTTTTTTTTTTTTTTTCTCACAATCTGTCAACAGTTTGTTTCCCCATTTACGCAGCACTTATTATTTGAACATCAAATCTATGTTTACTCGAAACACACTCTTGGCTTACCAAGTGGTAGTGGCTGGCAGTCATCATTAGGGGGTCTGTTTATGTGTGTTTGGATTGGAGGGTTTTTCTGGAAAGAAGAAAACAGTCAGGCCTGTCCCGCTCAGCCAAAGGAAACAGGCCTGCACGCCGGGAGCTCTGAGATGGAAGTTAAGATGGAACGGACCGCTACCTGTCAGCTAGAGAGTGACTAACACATTCATCCGTGCACACGAGTAATCAAACACACATGCATGTACGTGTAAAAGCGGTAGAAGAAAACTGTTCAGGAAGGCACACGAGCCTACTACGTTCAGGGTCAAGGCAAGGAACTGTGTTTAGGAAAAAAAAGAAAGCAGGATTGAGTAGATTAAGAGAGATGAATGGGTGTAACACACACACACACACACACACACACACACATTTGTAAAGCTTTCATGTGAGCTTCATCATTGACTCCATTCATCATCTAACTTTTAACCCTCGCCTGAACTCAACTTAACTTCACCTTTAACCTTAAACTCAGTATCTGACCTTAAACCAACAGTTACCTCACGTCTTAAACGGAGCTTCATCTCCTATCGCTCACATACAGTAACCCACACTGTTTGTAGCCCAGTGGTAGATCAAACAGTAAATATCTGATCACATAATTCAGGCAATGAATAAACAGCTGAAGCAATGTGTAAGCAGCTACTGGCACTGTCCACACTGAATGAAGACAGTCTGTAGACGGAGCAGCTGTAACTTCACCAGCAGCACCTTCCATGTTTTAAATATACTGTAGCTCATTTGGTAGCCGGTTACAGTCACTGTCCCTGCGGCTGTTCAGCTGTTTATTTGTCCTCAGTTGCACTAACTTAGTTAAAACTGCCAACAGGAAATGTAACAGCAAGGATGGGAAATCTAGCTGTGTTAGAACTGTTAAGCTATATATGGCCTCGCAGACTTCAGAACCAGTCAGCTTAACATCCTCAGATTCAGTTATGAAAGTCACATTTCTGATCATGCACAGTCACTTGCGGAGGGTTCTTCTTTTGAATCTTCTCATCACAACGTGGTGCTCATGTGTGGATGCAGTGATCTGTCATCTTACCAAAGGGAAGGTGCGACGGGGAACACTAACCCATGTAAAATACAAACATCCGTGATTGCATTAGATTTCAGGAAAGCATCTTATTCGGGCGAGTTGACAAACAGGTCGCGCAACTTAAGAGACAGCTCCGGCTGACAACTCCGAATATGTGAAGTACGTGATGTATGAGGTTAGCTTGGCTGTGTGGGTGTGCGGCAACCAAACACACACACACACACACACACATAGACACACACAGACACAAACAAACAAATAGCCCAGTTGCCACATTCTGACAGCAGGTGGTAAAAAGCTTTGGAATCATTTCTGTGAGAGAGAGAGTGTGCATGTGCGTGCGTGCGTGCATGTGTGTGTGTGTGTGTGTGTGTGTGTTGGCACTCATACTGTTAATTGTCAGCTCTACGACCAAGAGCCGAGCAACAGTTTGACGGTAAACAGCCAAAGGTGAAGCTAAGTGTTCCCGCTCGACTCTGTTGTGGTAACAAAACAGAGCTCCAGACAGAGACGGACACATTAGCGGCATAAACACACAAGCTCTGGCATTCATCTTTAAAACATTTAAGGAGCCCAGCAGCCCGTGTATCAAGAGACGACTGGTGCTTTCACCCTGTGTGTTCAAATGTGTCTTGGAGACAAAGTTGCAGACAGATCTGCTTTAAAGACAGAAACAGAACAGAAACGGGATAATCTCATGAGTTTCGTTAAAGATCAATGTGCAGAACTAAAAGGCTGCAGTTTGTCTGACTTATCAACATCAGAGTCACATGACAACAGGAAAGAGATACTGGCTGATATTATACTTTATTCCTGTTGCGATGGACAGTTTGATGGCAGCTGGATAGCAGATCTACTTTCTTTTGGTCTCCCCTTTTTCTCATCACATGGCCATGAGATTATTAAAGAGCGTAACACTCGCATACAAGAATTTTCGCATATTGAAGTATAGTTAAAATAAAGTCTAATAGAAAAGCGTAAGTATCCCAACTGAAAGCACAAGGCAGATTCATTGCAATTTAAGAAAAAATGAAATTAATTTGTTAAAGTTCAAATAAAATGCGCAGGAATAAAGAAAAACAGTCGTATTTCTCTTCTGCATGAGAAATCTTTTTCTTTTATGCAGATGTGCAGGTAACAAATTAACTGTATATCATAGTACTCCGGTTTGATTTACCTTAAGTAAAGAGTGTTTAACTATGAGAAACAGCTGAGTTTAGAGTTCAAAACTCTGTACATGTGCAGGTTTACATGTTTATTTATTTGTTGAAGCCGTGCTTGGCAGTCATCTTACAAATTAGTCTCTGTGTGAAGCTCCACTGGCTGTTAATAATTTCTAAAAATACTGCATCACAAAGTGGTTCAGAAAGTCGAGCTATTTGAAGTGTTGCTGTACAGTCTGACTAGTCTGACGAAGTAAATGGTTTTCTTTTATTCCAAAACACGGTGAGAGTCCGTGCACAGACAATGAGAGTGTTATCAATCTTCTCACAAGAAAATGATTGAGCAATCCCCCTGAAATGTCAAAACTATTCCTTTATCTCATCTTCCCCCTGTAAGCACCTGACGTGTCCGTTTTTCCCTCCTCAGTCCAAAGCCATGCGTGAGCGATGGCTCCTCCAGGGAATGGGTGTGGAGGAAGAGGAGGCACGGCGGAAACAGCTGGAACAGGATGAAGAACAAGGGAAGAGGCTGGAAGACATGATACATAGGTAAGGTACATTCACTAACGCAGTTTGGACTTTGTTTAGTCTCCGTGCAGTGTTGCAGGTGTGTGTTGCAGTTGGTTGTAGGGTGTAATCCATTTACAGTACCAGCACGATCGGACTGATACTGACCAGATGCGAGCAGCAAGTTATCACATCTGTTTTTGTTAGCACACATCTGCTTTTCTTTTCCGCACTGTGTTTTTCAGTTTTGACCGAATTGAGATATTTCCTAAAATACCAAACATACCTTCTTCTACTTGGCTTTCTTTCTTTCCTTCCTTCCTTCTTTCCTTCCTTCCAGTCTTCTGTCCAGTCTTCAGTTCTGGCACAGATTTTTACATCCTACCCCACGTGCTCTTAATTAGAAATAGTAAACAACAATGTGACTGCGACCAGGTTTTTCCACCAATAAGAAAAACATTTGATGCCACAAATCAAGAACTGGAACATTTTTAACTGCAAAGTGATGACATGTAGTAGATCGCTATATGCTGCAGCTAAATCAACCTCTGAGAGCATCAACAATAGTATACTTCAGTTACATCAGCCATATTTAAAGCAGCAAACCAGAGTCCCAGTGCAGGGCTCAAATTTTGTGAGGCTACAAATGCCGCTCAACATAAACAAACTGATACTGCACAGTGGTTAAAATGAACACACACACACACACACACACACACATACACTGTAAGTTGAGAAGTGCTCTGGAATCTAGCAGCTCTGTAACCTTAGACCAAAATCTACATTTCTCTTACGCACTAATGTGAAAACAAATACCAAGAGCCACTGTATGGACTGAATACATAACTTCTCTAAAAGCAGATATGACAAGAGCTGACAAGGGAGGAATAACGAAAAGCATAGATCACAAGGAGGAAAAACACGAGGGAGGCATTACAGAAAATAAGAACTGGAGGGAGAGAAGAGGGAAACTCATAAAGCAGAGAGAGAAAGTTGCAAGATATAACATGCAAGTGAACGCAGGTTGGAATTGTTAGAGGAAGAGAGGGATTCGATTCTGTGTGCACTTCCTGCGTTTGTGTCTCTGGGAGGAGCTTCCTGATTCCCATCAAGCATTGCTGTGAGATAGTCACTTATTCCCCGGTGAAGTTGGGGCATGATGAGATCATCGACGCTATGAATAAAGTGCCAGGCAGGTCCTTGCCAGCGTGATGCTTTGCTACAGTCAGCCGTGAGTGTTTTCCGTTGGCAGGGTGTGAAAACTGGGCTGGGCGGCACCTTATTGTCTTCTGTGACACAGAACAAACACTTTAGGTTTAGAATCTTTTTTTAAAGGTGTTAAGGCGTGTTCTGAAGTGAAGACTTATTCAATTTGTGGTTGCAATTTCCTTGATGATTCATGTTTTGTGCACCACATTGAGCTTCCACCTGGAATGAAATGTACTATATAAAATAAGTTTAGCTTGTTTTGCTATTGCTACATAGCCAATGTTAGCATTAACAGCTGTTTACTTACCAGTAAAGGAGAAATGTTGCGAGCTCAGCATCAAACGCTAACGCTGTCTATGTAGCAATAGCAAAACTTACAAATAGCTCCTAAAGTAATGAAAGAGAAAGATGCTGATTTCGCCCTATAATTTATCCATCTACATGATCAGGATGTCCTTGAAAGTTCCTAAAACGCCTGGGGAATTAAAATTAAAGGGGCGAAAAAGAAACGCCTCTAAATAGGATTTTTTCCTCAGTGTATTTTGAGCAAGACAAATCATGAGTACACAGCCTAAAGCAGTAGAAACGCTTGGCACCATGTAGGGGAGAGTAGAAGGAAATCCAACTCCACATAAACTCCTGCATCAGGGAAAACTAATTATTTCAAATATTATTAGTGGAAAAATCTCAGTTGTGGAGTGGAAGATGGAGTGCTGGGAGTAAAGTTAAAACTAATCAGCCAACACGCATTGCAGATTTATTATTTCATACTTTGTGTATTTGAGCGATGGCAATCAGAGCACTCTCAGAAAATTAGGCTCGTGGAGAGGTTTTGGGTCAATTTGGCATCTGTGAGTCAAGCTCACGCTCCACCTCCTCATCTATCAAATCTCTGCATGAAAGACACTTTGTTAGCCAGCAGCTACTGTAACTTATCACCAGCTCTGAAATAACATCAACAGTCGCTGTGGTATAAACAGAACAGCAGTGAATGGTCAAAGAGAGAGCATTGTAGACTCAAAGTACAGTTGTGATTGTGGAGCTGCTTCGTGTGAATCACTTCATTCAGCTGCTGTTGAATAGACTTGTTGTCTGGTAGTCTGTTTCAAAGAGGAGACAGTGCAGTTTGCGGTTTTAATTACTTACAAAAGCAATTAAAACCACAAAGATAACTCTTTACTCTGCTACACTGTCATCTGTTTCAGGTCAGGTTTCACTTTTTTTTTTAGAGTTTAGAGGCTTTAGAGTGGAGCCAAATCCTGCTTTATTCAGCTCCTCAGTGTGTCAACAGACAGGAAGGAGAAAACCAAAGCCTGAAATGAAATAGTCCCCTAGACCAGTGGTTCTCAAAGGGGGCGGGTCCCCTGGGGTACTTGAGGAGGTTTGTAGGGGTCTCCAGCAAAAAGGGGAATAATTAAATTTCACTATAATCCCATCCATAAGTAAGACAGTGACAGCATGTATGACTGTTTTAGTCATGGGTTTCAAACACTCTCTGCAATAAAACATCTAAAAGCAGAAATCTTATCAGATGGGGGATCCTGGGACAATATCTTGTCAAATGGGGGTCTGTGGTCTAATTTGTGTCACTGCCCTAGACAACTGTATGACACCTGAATTAATCAATAAAACTCTGTTTGCACAAAAACAGTTAGTTTCAAAATCACAGTGACCGTCTTACTTTCTGAGTTTCTGTCTGAATCTAGAAGTTGATGGTTGCTTTGTGATACAACGCTCCCTTGTTTTATTTTAGACACAATCCCAAGTAATGGCTTTTTTACGATGTAAGCCAGTCACATATATCTATCAGTCATCATCTTGACAACGAACCACACTCACTCTTCCATGTCATACCCTGAGCTCCTTCTCTCTCCACAGGCCCAACTTCTAGTAAGGATCAGATAACCTGGCATTTTTCCTGCAAGTTTATACATAAGTAGGAGCAATGTTTTTCAGGCAATTACTATCGTGAACCAGGGTCTCAGATGTGTGCTGCAAATCGCTTTAAGAGGAGCTCAGCTGTCTGGGATTAAATTCTCGGGGCTTTTTTCGGGAAACAATCTTCTGGGTAACATAAAGTCACAGAGCACGTGTGTGGGAGTGTAAGGAGTGCCTTCAGTCACACAGATCCTACACTTGAAGACAAAATGATTTTACTAAGTTACAAATTGTCATTCATTTGGGTGTGATGGTATGCTGTGAAGACGGGAGATATTTCCATTTAGATGTTTTTCGACAGGACAGGACGCTGATGGGCAGCTCATGCCCGTCTGTGCACGTGTATGTGTGTGTGTGTGTGTGTGTGTGTGTGTGTGTGTGTGTGTGTGTGTGTGTGTGTGTGCGTGCGTGCATTTCAGGCAGAGGGTGTGGCATCTATATTTACACTCTGTGGGACAACATCCCAGAATATCCTGTAACCCAGGCAACTGGAGTCTTTCCACTACTGATAGGGATAGAGGCAAATAGTTGGGACGAAAGTAGACTCTGCATTATCTGTGTGTGTGCGTGTGTGTGTGTGTGTGTGTGTATAAAGCTCTGAACACAACACCTACTTCCATCTATAAACATTTCTGAAATAGACTCCACTGTTTTGTAAGTAAAAAGCACAGAAGCCCAGACATCTTGTCAGTCCCACTTTTATGGCAGTTAGACTAATAGCACAAGCACTAGCAAACACTTTAATGACAGAAAGTGACAAAGACAAAGCTGCGGCTCTTTCGCAGATGCTTGTATCGTTTCATGCACTGGAGAACACATAAACAGGAGTGACAGACAGAGGAGGAACAGCTGTATCTGTTGATAGAGAGCAGATCTAGTGCAACTGAGCATTAACTGTATCAAGAAAATAAGCAAGAAAGAAAAAGAGTCCCTTCATATTATCCATACAATTATGCAAACCTAATGGAGAACATATTATCAAAAACAAAAAACAAAGAGGACAACAGCGGCGTCTTTGTGTGGTATTGTAAGCGCTGTTGACCTTAAACTGGAAATCATATAAAGTGGGGGTGGGGGTGGTGGGTGGTGGGGGGGCAACAGTGCAATCTTTGTGCAGACTATTTCATACACATACTTAAGGTCATTCAGCCTGGAGAGCACAGGCATAGAAAAGGAAAAAAGAGATGGGAAATAGAGGCAGTTTGTGTGGTAGTTCTCCCTGTTGTAACTCGCTCACAGCGACAGAGCGATGAAGAAAGAGCAGCCATTGTGTGCAGGAGGAGATGCTAACTTTGCAGAGCCTGGAGAACAAACAGACAGAGGGAGACAGAATGAGAGAGTGCGGCGGCAGCAGTGGTAGTTTTACAGATATCCCTATCATTACATGCACAGGCTAAGTAAACAGAGAGAGAGAGAGAGAGAGAGAGAGAGAGAGAGAGAGGGATACAGCGGGGCAATGTGGCACTGACCCGACCTGTGTCCACACTGTGCTGCTTTTGGATCATTGCTTGTTTCATAATGCACAGACAGCTCCATGCAGATGCCGCCATTATAGGGGAGCAGTCTGCTTTTTGTCCCGCCACAGCGACAGGACAAGTTTATCAACTCTTCACAGAAGTGTTTTGCAGAGTCTTCATTTTGTTTATTCAGGAATCAGAATGTTTTATTTTATGTAAAACATTTGAGGGAGCTTGATTATATTTTGCAGCAGTGATAAAAAAAAAAACTAGGCTGCTGCAGCAAGATGAAGACATGTATTTCCAAAGCTGTGTACTTAACCACTTTATGTATTATGTTGTTCATAACATACACTGCATGTATTTCACATGTAGTTAACCCCCAGTCAAGTTTTAATTATAGCAGTAGGAACTGTGAGCAGGTCTAAATCCATATAC